GTTTTATTTTGCAATGGGAATATTTGGTGGGTGGTTCAGGGTGGTCATTATCCCCCGGGGCTGTGCCACTGACTGAAGTGTCTTAAGGCCATCCCCAAAGGGGGGACATTTCTCGTTCAAGCATAGTAGAATTGTAAATGGGCTGACTCGTGTCACGCTCATAACATCTACAACAGGGAACTGCTGCTTTTTCTTTCCTGGTCCTTACTATTGTCATTTTCCTCTACTTCTTTTGTATGTTTGTCACTCTCTTGTGACCTGCTATTTTGGGGTGCCTTGATAGTCGAAGCAGACCTTGTGCTGTTGAAGCTAGAGAGGTGAGCAGTCTAAGTCTGATTCCCTGTAAGGACTTCTCTGTTGACACCCACCCCTTGGCACTCTTATGACCGTATGCAGTTGCGAGCGCCGCAAAACTCTCTACTATAAAAAAAGAAAGAAATATCATTCTGTATCACATCGCTTGAGTATCAGGCGCTGGTAAATTTTTTGGCACAGGAAATTATTGGTATATGCACCCTTAAAGCCTGTTTATTTGCTTTGGTTTTGATTTAAAATATACCGATCTATCTTGAATAATAGTGGGGATGTTTTCGATTGAAAAACGCGAGGATCACTTTGTGTCAGAGGTAAAATTAGCAAAGTTTGCTGACCACGAAGTCTTGAGTGTGTTTCGAAACTGCAAATTTACAAATTTTTGTGTGTCTCTGATCAACGTTTTTCCAGTAAAATCCATACAAAAATGTGTTTTTAAGTGCACATAAAAAGGTTTTAAGCACGAAATAAAGTAGGGGATTAAAAACTGCCTTACGTACGGAATAGTGAGCGATGGTTTCTTCGTACGTGTTCATTATTTTGACGAGTGCCCGACTTCACCACGATGGAGCACAACCCGTGCTGCAGTCTGTCCAGTCTGATTCTGTCCCAGTCTTCATCTGATTCTGCTAGCCTGGTCCCTCTCACGAGTCGGAATAAGTCGTCAGTGACGTCATAATGCCGCCCAGGGGAGCTAATCGCCCGCCAGTCTTCTTGCGCTGAAGTCGCCACTCGGGACCTGGGCCGGAGTGTGTCCCAGTGCTTTTGCATTATTGATACGATCTTCGCAGATTTACATTGATCAGTAGACATAATATCATATTTCTAGTCCTGTTTTTCATGGGGGAGGGGGGTTGTTTACACATATTTACAATAATCTATCATGTTCTCAAAATACACATTTTCACACCAATACAGACATGACAATCTAAGGCCTAGTAGTACGGCATTGCTGGGCGTGGGTTGTTGGAAGACGCCTCTGGAATGTCCTACTTCTTGACTTTCCGTTTTCTCCAGGTGCTGTTTCTGTAGCGGTTTGGTGTTCTGCCGTCGATTGCAGAGGAGCTAAGTTCGATTCCCGTGTAAAGAAAACTCTTATGAAGTATCGTCGTCTTACAGATATGTCTTTTTATTCCTGTCAGCCTGTTTTGGCCCTAACAGACAGGTTAGAAGTAGCCCGTCTCCTAAAAGATTTAGATTATGTCGATTGGGACTTTAAAACACCTACATTAAATCACAAAAAGACACCCACCCAAGTAACCACCTATATACAAGCCTTATCACCGACAAAATGCTTGACAATATTGAGTGCTTTAGCTCACTAACCTTTTGACGGATTTCTTTCAAGTCGTTCAACTCTTCTGCTATTCTTTCAGCTAAGACGGCTTACCTATGAGAATGGGTCAATGTTCATTAGTAGAGCCAGAACCGTAAATAGGAGCACAATAATTTGTTCTACCATTTGTCTCGCAAACTATCGACATTACTGTAAAACTGCAAACACCTGTGAATGCACACAAGGTACTTTTTTTAAGAAGTTCTCTCTCAGAGAATGGCTCCATGCTCATTAGTGGAACCACAGTCTGAAACAGAAGCTATATTATAGCCAATGTCACAAACAAGCCATCCTACTGTAAAACTACAGTTGTTACAATACATACATACAAAGGTTAAGTTCGGCTGGTTCCCCGGGAATAAAAGTAACTGATTGAGGGCGCGTTTGAAGACGTACAGTTTTAGGGCATTTTAAAGAAAAGAAGTGCAAGTTAGTTTTTCCAATAGATTTTTTCAGTTGTTTTCTCTATTAAAAAAATTCAGAAGGCCAGCAACGACTTGCCTACTATGAAATATCAAAATTCGATTTTCTGGTCTGTGTGTGATAGTTCAAAATGAGCCACAACATGGCCTTTGGTCTCCGTCCGACAAATGTGTCCGTGATGTCCTTATAGAGTAACTGCCTTAAATATGGAGAATAATTATTCATTCACTGCAACGTGACTTCACATGTCAAGAAAATCTAGTCTTTTGTAGTAAAGACATAAAGGTAACTGGTGCAAACGTTACTCACCCCCTCCCCCCTTTTTCCCCCATTCCCATGTCTATGATTATCTGAAGACATTTCAGGTACGTGTAATATAGACAAGAAATCGTAGTTTCATTACTATAATACTCTTTATTTCGTCCTTCCTCTGTACTTCAAATATCACCCTTTCCTGTGTGTGCTTGCCAAGCTAGACATAAAACTTTGGTTTCATAGTATATCTGTGCATTAGTCCGAATCAAGTGCAAAACTGAAATAGTCATTGATGAAGTTGCGCATTAGATATCTGAACTATGAAAGACAATGAATTGGTGTTGCAATAATATGGCATTTGTGCCATTTGGGAATGAGAGAAGAGGGGAAAAGCGGGAGGGTGGAAGGCTCATTTCACTTTCTCCCCTCACTAACGTCAGGCATAAGTGATCCTGCCCTTGTGGTAAATGGAAAAGCGGGGGTGACGCCGTAGGGTATAGGTGGACGAGTGGAAAATCTCAACCTTCACACAAGACTGCTTCATTCACAGCCACCCTCCACTCCCTCTCGTCTACCCCCCACCCCCTCCCAGCCGCCACCCTTTCCCAAGACTCCCAGTGCTTGTATTGATTTCCCTGATTAGGTCGACCTGTGGGCTCATGCCCAACTGTTCATGTGGACTGTGTTTTCCAGATTCGAACTCGTGTCCTGGGTAGCATGAGATATTTATGCCGTGTTATAGTCTCGCAAGAGCGCTGGCAGTTGGTTTACCCATTAATTGAACAGCTGGTTTGTTTGGGTTTTTTATGTGGGTGTTTTACACTTATCGCCACAATTTAGATCATTTAGGAGGCGAGAGTCAACCTGGGCTGAGACGAATATAACATCCCATTAGATTTAGAAAGACTAACCTACTCGATGAAAAAAACCTCCCCATTAGGAAATCGAACTGTGGTCTCCGAGTACGACGGCAAAGCGCCTAACCTCTACACCGCAGATACCGATGAACAGTTTTTTGGCTCACAAATATAAACATCGTAAGACGAAGTTAGAGAGATTGGGTTCTAACGTACGATATAACTTTAATCGTATTACTTAAGTAAGAAAATATTAACAGCATCCAGTCTGGGATTCGAACCAAGGCCATTTACTCCGTAGTCCAGCATGATACCAACTGAGCTAAAGGGCACCCTTTGAACGTGAAATTCCCCAAGTTGGCTCATAGACAGCGGAAGACCTTACCAATATGTTATTGTTATAGTTATAGCACCTGTGTAAAGGCAGCTTGAACAGTGTACTTCCCAGGAAGTGGAGATTGTTTTACTAAATGCTATGGTAAATAATAAAAAATTATAAAGCCCACAGGCTTGCAGTTAAGTGATAATTTGCACGATTACATACTGTTATCATTGTTATTGCCACCAGTATCAGTGATGGATGTTTAATTCCGAGGTCCGGCATCTTGAATAACCTCACGGGGTCAAAAGAGGGTTTAAACCAATACCATGAGGTAATGGAAAGGTATTCAGGAATGTAAACTACTATTTTTAGCAACAAATCTTCAGGAGTTGCATTTTTCTTTTGGGGGGAGGGATTTTTTGTTTGTTTGTAAGTTTGGTTTTTTGTATCTTTTGTTTTGGTGGATGTTTTTTTGCTTTTTGTTTTGTTGCTGTTTTGTTGTTGTTTTTGGTTTGGGCTCATTACTATTTACTGCCGAGCGATTATGGGTCCAAAGAATATAACCTGTCGCCCTATGGCCATCGATCGTGTGTCGTGTGGCTTGTTTATACGTCTTTTATTTATGTTTTGTCCACTTTTTAAGGGTTCTCATTCCCGTCTTTATTTCAAGTACGATTTTGGTGTTACAAAAGAATATGAGAGGGGGGGG